GGCAGGTGGGGAACGTTGGAGTCCTCCGTCACTGAAGCAAGCAAGCCTCATGTTCAGTTTAAGCTGCCTGGCTGCCGGCCGCCATCTTGGCTGGAAGTTAATTTGCATATCTCGCTGATTAGCCAATGGGAAGGGTAGCGGTCATATGCCAATTACCATGTTTCTCTTTTATTAGATAAGGACAAGCTGTGTCCTACTCTCTTATCTGTTGAAACTCTGGATGATGTTGAAGCATGAATACTGGTTAAGGAGCTATTCACGCCTCAGTAGTGATCTTCAAATTTCTATATTTGACCCTTTCTTCCCCTCACAAAATAGTAGAGTTGCTATACTGTTAATTCAACAGAGATTGATAGAGTACTTACTATATGCCAAGTGCCTTGCTGAATTGAGTATAAATGCAAAGCAGAATAATGTTTTCTGAAATATCAGAGGAATACTGTCTATTTTTGCCTGAACTCCTCCCTACTTTCTTAGGATTGCAATTGAGCCTGGGGTTGGGGTAAAAAACAAAACAAAAGAACAGGCAAGAATGAATGCAATAGGGAATAAGTGACTCTTATAAACTTAGTATTTCCCTCACCATGCATTTGGAATGACACTGAAGCTCCTGGTTGTCATCTGATACACTGATATGTATATGCAGACAGAAAGCACCTTAGCCCTATATATGATGTCAACGAAATTCTTGGCAGAAATAGTAACCCCCCCCCCCTGCCCCCACCTCTGGCCATTTACTTAAGTGCTCCTGCAGGTCTTCCTAGGCTTCCACTGACTCTGAGTTATCCTATAATCTCTGTCATTAGTCCTTTTTGCAGGCCTTTCTCTGTCCTTTATTTATCTGAAATCTAATTAACAGGGCCCTATTTTTGGTGGTCAGTGTTTGAAGTGTCACAGCCACTCACTGCTTTTAGAGCTGTAATTGTCTATACTTTGTGTCTGTTTTGATCCCGCCTCCATTAGAGTGACTTTGCAGCCTTTCTGGCTGGGCCCTTGCAGAGAAACTCACTGTGCAACCTGCTATCATTTACTTACAAAGCGGAGCCGAGTGGCCAGTCCTTCCCGTTTTGTGCTAGACTGCTATATAAGGACATCACAAGAACCCTTCCAACTGACGTCACTGTTACTTATCAAGGTAAGAGGAAGGTGCCTCAGTGGAGAAATTATATAACAAGCTCTGGGTTACTCAAGTTGAGTGAAACAGGGTAAAATCGGCAGAATACATGAGTTGGACCTCTTGAGACACTTTCTTCTGTTTATATACCATAAAGCAGAAAAATGTAAAGACTATTTTATTTGTTTCTACCAATTTTTCCTCTTCTCTTTTTAAGTAATAAACATAATCATTTTCCCTCCTACTTTGCTCCTTCCAAATCAGCTAGTGTTCTTTCAGCTTATAATTTGTTTTCATTGAAGACTGCTCTTGAAGAGACAGCTAATGAGGCCGAGTCATAGGGCCAGAGTGGTGCAGAGAGCCAAATGGACTTGAAAAGTCATTATACATTGAGCTTTCTAGAGACTATTCAGTAAGTCGGATTTTTTTTCAGAACTGACTGAGATTTTTGTGCATGTGTATGTCTGACTTTGTTTCAGTTAAGTGTACCATAGTAATGTACATGGGCACTAATGAAAAATAAAATGTTTTAGGAGGCAAGAATTTTGAAGCTGCCACAGGTTTTATACCATAGGTATTTTTTTAATCTTCACCCAAGGACATGCTTATTAATTTTAGAGAGAGGGGAACATTGATGGGAAAGAGAACAATATACCTTCCACATGTGACCCCACCGGGGATCGAACCTGCAGCCTTTCAGTGTACGGGACGATGCTTCAACCAACTGAACCACACCAGTCAGGGCACCATAGGTTTTCGTTTCCCTTCTAAGTTCCCCATTTCAAAATTGGCATTGGTGTAATTAGGCCAGCCTCTCGGCTCCAGACCAAAAAAATAAGTTACCTAGGTTCAGACTATCAGTGACGACCCAGGTGATTCTCCCAAGTGCACTGGTGAGATTGATAGAAGCTGTCCTTTTAGGAACGGATGCATTGTCTACCTCCTGGGAAGAACAGCGAGCTTCCCATGAAAACCTGTTCTGTACAAAGCCCCTTCATCAAGTGTTTGCCTCATTTGCAAGAAGAGAAGAAAAGCTGGATATGAACCTGCTCTACTAGAATATTCTTTGCATTGAGAACACATCAAAAGTGAGTAAACAACAACTGGACACAGTCCCAGGCAAGGTCATGGGACTGAAAACGGTTGAAAGGCTCAGACTCCTTACAATGGAGACAGATACCCACCTCTTGAGGATGCTGAAGGTGCAAGTTTGAGTCTAGACCAGCCGTGGGCAAACTACAGCCCGCGGGCCGGATCCAGCCCGTTCGGCTGTTCTATCCGGCCCGCGGAGCCGAAAGAGTGGAGGGTTCTCTTGCTCTCCCCTCCACTCCTTCACCAGCAGCAGTGTTAACATGTATTAGTTCACACAAACACTCCATCCATGCTTTTGTTCCGGCCCTCCGGTCCAGTTTAAGAACCACTTGTGGCCCTCGAGTCAAAAAGTTTGCCCACCCCTGGTCTAGACATTGGTAATTTTGGACAATTCTCCACAATTGCCTGGTCAGTTGTTAAAGGCTCAAGACCATGTGTTCTTAGAGATAGTGATTTGTCCATACGTTTTAGTTGAAAATCAGACTGGGTTATAGGGCAATCAAAGGCATTTTGTGAAAGAGGAGTATATACTATTCAGAGTGTTTCTAACTTTTATAAGAGCTTTAATTCCATCTCATTTTCCTAATTGAGACATTTGAAAAGGAAGTTCTTAGAACATTCTGTTCATATGAGATGAATCTTATAGTTAAGAAGGGACCTGTGTTTAGTCTTTGGTTTGGAGCAGCATATTCTAGACCTGCCTTTGAAGAAGGTGGTGTGAGAAAGTACTATGGATAAAGTAATCAGGGTTCTATGTCTCATTTTGTTTCCTAAAACATCCGGGGAGAAAGCATGGTCAGAAGTCTGCTCTTAAGAGGAAGCAGACCTTCCTTCCATCTCCTGGTCTGATAACCAGGGCCTTGGATCTGCTGGCACTTTCTTTGGTTTAAGGGAGTATGTATAGGGCCAGGTTCTGCCATTTCAGGTCCTGTCCCACTTTGGCCAGTCACAAATAGGCGTCATTACTACCCAAGCCCCACTCACTCTAAAATGGTCACTTCCTAGACCTGGTGACCAGGAAGTAACTGTACAGGTGTGGGAACACCAGCTAACGCTGGGAGGAGCACGTAGTGGTAAGTCAGTTAGGACCACCATTTAGAAGAAAGCACCTAAAAAGTAAGAGAGGTCTTAGTTCAAGCTCTTGTGCCTTCCAGGAAGGTAGTTACCAAAAAGCACTTCTCTGAGGAGAGGTATTAACAGGATTTTCACAATGATCACATTCAAGTTGAAGAAAACTTTTAATAAAACAGTCTTATTCTTTATCAATACCTGTAAATTCTCTTTTAAAGCAGTAGCAAAGGCGACTGTAGCAAGAGCTCAAAAGGCAAGGCAATATCGGAAAGTGTTTTTTAACAGAAAGTTAAAAATATAAATGTAGATCTGTTGATATATTTTTCTTTCAGAAATAAACTCCCTTTCCCTCCCACCAGGTAACAGGAAATATTGCACTTTCTCCTCCCAGGACTAAGGTGACAGGGGTTCCAGAAGAACCTTTCAAGATTATCAGGACCGGGCCCTTTGACCTAACTCAGATCATACAGAGACAGGTCTCCAGCTGGTGCTGTCTTCAGAATGAAAAGCACAGCTTTCAAGTTATAGCTGGGAGCAGACATTCACCAGCATAGTGGCCCTGCCACAGCTTCCCCTCCAGCTGAGCTCCCGCCTCTGATACATCCTGCTCACAGTGGCCATGGCCTCTGTGGGGGAAGAAGGGCTGGTCCAGTGCTATGCCTAAGACCCTTACTCTGGGGGAGCTACAGGCACACTGAGGAATAAATAGTACGGCCACCCTCAGAGCTCACGAAATGAAGCCTTGAGGGGATTTTTAAATCTAAAGTCTATGTGAGTGTGCACTTCAGCAATTTGGGACTGTTGGGACTTAGTCATTTGTCCTTTCCCAAGGTCTTTGATTCCAAAAGATACATCCTCCCTGGGGCTAGCAGCCATTCAGGAGTTGTCTACTACCTGGTGGGGCAGGGTCACAGAGGAGCCATTCGGGAAGGCGGCTGGCTTATCACGCCCCTTCAAGAAAAAGGTTAGCAGCTCCCCCTTTCCTTTCACAAAGATGGGCCCCCGCCTCACAAAGCGAAAGCCGTACTCTCGAAGGATGGCTTGTGTTTCTTCTACCACCTGTAGAGGAAGCACAGAGCTTGGGGTTAGACAGTGAGCCTACACTGAGGCTACCCAGATGAGATCTCCATGTGGCCCACAGGTCCCAGTCACTCCTTGTACTCCATCCCCCAGAACACAGGTGCACTTTGCCAGGGGTCCTCCCTTCGCCCAAAGAGAGTCTAGCGCTCTCTCCTCAGATGCCTGTGTGACGGCACCACTGTTGGGGAACTTTTACCCTCTGCTCTTGTTCCCTTTGCCCCTTTTGTGGAACTTTCTTGCCAGGCCCAGGTGACACAGTCCAGGATGTTAATTACCCAGAACTTATTTCTACGTTTTGCAAATGGGGTCAGTGTCTCTTCTCCCTTCTGCCCTGGAGGCATCTTTTCCCACTCTTGCCTTTGCTCTCCCAGCACTGCCAATGTCATGTTTAGGCCAATGAGGAGACAGTGCACGGCAGAACACTCTTCCCTGCATCTGAGCACATGGACAGACCTGAATGTTACCCATGACCCCTGTGGACTCCATCCTGCTGGCGACGTTGACTGTATTGCCCCAGATGTCGTAGTGTGGTTTCCGGGCTCCAATGACCCCAGCCAGGACCCCTCCTTTGTTCATGCCTACGGTAGAGGCATAAAGTTCAGCATAGCTACACTTCTCAGAAGCTACTAGGTTCTCTCACAGAATTCACCACCTGACCTCTACCACAAAGCTATTCATATTTACCTGCCTTCACCAGGTACTTGGCAAACTGTTAGCCGCCCCAATATGCTAATTAACAGTACGGAAGTTGCCAGTTTCTCTCTAACACGGACCTGGCACTTTAAGTCTCCTGTGATTTCATCAGGAGTGAGCCCCCAGTTGTCTACATTCCCATAAGGCAGGGGTTCTCAACCTTCTGGCCCTTTAAATACAGTTCCTCATGTTGTGACCCAACCACAAAATTATTTTCGTTGCTACTTCATAACTGTAATGTTGCTACTGTTATGAATCGTAATGTAAATATCTGGTCTTAGGCGACCCCTGTGAAAGGGTCGTTCAACCACCAAAGGCATTGAGAACCACTGCCATAGTGGGTAACAGATGACTAATTCTTAACAGACTGGACTGAAGTGAATAAACCCCTCAACAGGCATAGCCAGATTGAGAAGGAAACCATCATTGTAAACACTGGGACAGGGATGGCTGGCCATCGGTCAGGTTTCAGCCTGGTCATCTAGAAGAGCCTGGACCAAATGCCCTTCCAGCTCTGAGTATGGGACCCTACCGCATCTAAATGCGTCAGATCTCTCTCAGCCTCTCCTCCTCCTTGGTGATTGCTGACTCCCGTGTCAGAAGGGAGCTAGAGCCTTACCTATGCGCAGCATGAAGTTGTTGAAGGACTGGTTGTTGATGTTTGTAAGCGTATCCTTCATGGCTAGTGCAAAGTCAGCCAGATCAGCCAGGTGCTGCCAGCGCTCCTTGTCTGACTTTTCCTCCTGTGCCAGGGAGCAGCAGTGAAAGCATCAGGAGCCACTCTGGGCCCACCCCCGCAGCAGACTGTGCCACCCCTTCTGAACATTCTGGAGGTCAGTCCCTTCACCTGGTTGATAAAGGCCTATTCTTCAATTTTTCTCACAAAGGAGTCAGGTTCCTCTTTAGCACCCTGTCACTGTGACAGAGACTGGACGGTGGTGGTGGGGAGGACAAATTGTACCTAACCCATCTGCTGTGTACCTGCTTAGGAGTCACGTCTCTTCCCCTAGTCCGAACCTGGTCTTAAACTTGAGATAGTTGTCCTTGTTTTCATTCTTAAACTAGATTATAAGCACTTGAGGGTTAGGCGTGTTTCTTTAACCTCATCCATAATAAGGAGATGGCGGTTGTGATGTTTTAAGAACAGCCCTTGAGATGAGGGCCCCAACAGCTTTTCTCACCTCTGGTACCTAAATTGAGCTGGCTTCACAGGTCTGCTTTAACTTAACAAAACCATTCCCCGACGTGGATGTTTTCATGGTTCCATAATTGTGTAGATGGTCCTGTTGCCCAGCGCTTACGAAAGTATGGAAGGGAGCACAGCCGCAGTTCCACAAAGCATCTTATGCCTGACTTAAGCCGGGAACAGTAGTGGACTGCTGTGGGTGTGCTGTTATTTCTGCTCATTACACTTTCTCAGTAAACCCAGTTTTATATTGGCTCGGTCCTAGTGGTGTGTGTCTGTACTGGTGCAAAGTGCCTTTGTACAACAGTGCTTAATGTTAGTTGCTCTTGTAACTCCTGGTTTCCCATGTGCTAAGTGTGGGCTGCCTCTTGCCTCAGGAGGGAGAGCCCTATCTCCTCTCTAGCCATTGAGGTGTTTAGGTACCTTGCTGGAGCTGGTAAAGCCGTTGGTGTTGACATCTGGCGTGACTCCGGAAGCTGCCATATAGGTACTGCCAATGGTTTTGATCTTGGTGATGACCCGGAATTTGGGATTGTCTAGAAGCTAAGACCAGTATTAAGGAAGAGAAAACCGTCAGCAGTCAATTGGGATTGGATTGATGAGCCAACTAAATGACAGGTTTGCCTGTTTGCAATTCCCCCACCAAACACCCAAGAGAGGCTTTTCTATAAAAGCTTGGTTCTGCCTCTTATCTGCCATGTGATCCTAGGCAAACTTCATTTCCTAAGCCTCAGTTTCTACCACCTTAACATTGGGATAAAATTACCAATCTCCTAGGGAGCTGAACATATATGTAAAAACATTTCTCTTGATGTATGTTACCTAATAAATGTTTAATGAATCTGAATTTGAAGGTAGGAGGAAACAGGAACCTTAGGATCTTGTTTTGGCCAGTCTTTATCCTGTGAAGTTGCAGGTGATTCCCCAGGCTCCCATCTCACCCCCTCAGACCCAACACTCCAAGCAGCTATAGAAGCCCATACATTC